GCCTCCGTAGCAGGCTTATAGAACTGGGGGTATTTTCGCGCGAAACCTTCTCTCCGTGGCAAAAACTCCCTCGGCAGCAAATCGTCCCTCGCGGCGGCATATTACTCTCGTCGCTCAGAGAAAAAATAACGCCGACGCCCAACAAGACTGCGAAGGAGGCTACAGGCCGGCTATGTTGTCTATTTGCAATCAGAAAATAGCACATAAAAGCTCCCAAAGACCATGAAGACCCCCAAAACCCCCAGTTTTTGGCATGCTATGGAGGCTACGGAATTTGTATATATCATGGCACCTGTGTATTGGAAATATATTTTGCGTGGTTTCGACATGCAAGTCCAAAATCACATATAACGTTCCGATAATAGGTGATGGTAATATTTTTCAGCATATCTGTAATATCTGTGATATTGTATATAATGGAAATTTTACACTGAGACTTTGTATTATCACGGTGGTTTACTTTGCACATGTTGTTTACGGAAAAATTTAAACGTAAGGTCAAGGCCGTTTTCGTCGTAGGGTTTTGATACTGTTGAATCCTCAAGTTGAAGCTGTGACAGAAACAACGTTAACCGGTGACAAGAATCTAAAACAGCCTTGTTTTCTATAAGACGGCTGAATTTTGCAGGACACACATGCACTAATATCCCACAAATGTGGGGTCGTGTGGCACAGTCGGTAGCGCGTTCGGCTCACACCCCAGAGGTCGTGGGTTCGAACCCTGCCCATGTCACCGATCTTGTGCCCTTGGGAAAGGCACCTTACACGACTCTTCTCACTTTACTCAGGTGGAAATGAGTACCTAGCTTCGGTTAGAGGTCCCGTGTTTGGGACAGCCACACCCCATGCACGTTAAAGAACCCACCGCACTTATCGAAAAGAGTAGGGGACCTTCCCGGTGTGAGTGGTTCAAACCTTACAGTCCGGTCTTACGCAGCTTGTACATGTACGCACATGTACAAAACTGGTGTGTTGCGCCTAAAGGCGTAACACACCAGTTATGCGAAACAAACAAACAAAATGACTTCAGTTTGCAATCCGACATGCTAACGGGCCCGGGATAATACAGGCGGACTCTTTACTTGATTGTATCCCGGTTAAATCCTTTTATTTCAAATGACTGAGCTCAAATCGACCAAACACAGTGGGCTATTTTTTTTCGCCAATCTGAATCGGCTTGACCTTTCGCGGCTTTTGTTCGGGCGTATAGGACTACCTCAATGGCGCTTTTCAATGGGTATTTCAGCGTACTTAGCGACCCTTTTCTGTCGAGCGGAACCTTGATAGAATCCATGCCCCACGTTTTTCTATTGGCATATAAAAGAACAGAAAAGAACAAGAAACAGTCATGCCTTCAAATATCAGAATTATCAACCAAAAATTGAAGTGTTCAACAACTCGTATTTCCCCAGAACTATCGTAGACCAGGGTGCGTAGACTGGAACTCGTTGCCAACAAGCACAGGCAAAGAAAAGAACAGAAAAGAAAAAGAAACAGTCATGACTTCAAATATCAGAGTTATCAACCAAAAATTTAAGTGTTCAAAAACTCGTATTTCCCCAAAACTATCGTAGACTAGAACTCGTTGCCACCAAGCACAGTTGGGGCATCATCACTAGAAAGCTTTATACAACTCCTGCAATTAGATGTGCAAAGATTGAGTGTAGCAAGTCGTTCGGTGTGATATAGCTAGCTGCTGCCGCGCCGCGTGCCTGCGAAGCTGGTGTGTTACGCCGAAGGGCGGTTATACCGGCTATACAGATACAGATACAGGCAAGATCCCCATTTGTGAACACTGCTCTGGTAATCTTGTACTAAATCCCTTTAAAACTACTTTGTTCCAGGTGTTAGGGTCAGCGCACACAGAGAAAGGAGCACAAAAACGGGATAGGGTTGTAGTTGGTTTGACAGATAAGGTGGATGTATTGTTTTGTATATAATGTCCTTGGTTCTACACATATACGGGTGGGCTTGTTTCAATAGCCTGATCTCAGAACTACCAACTGAACTGTATTGAACATATGGCATAGTCCATCAAAAAATCACAAGCCCCCGAAATAGAAGTTTATTGGGTGATACAGTGTTGAAAAATATTATTAGTGAAATTCAGTTTTATCAAGAGAAGAAAATGAAACTATTATAATAATAATAAGTTCCGATCTAAAAAAATGGAATATTATAGCCAAAAAAATGTACTAAATTCTTTTAAATGGGGACGTATAGAAATGTCGATTTTTTTTTCGACATTGGATTACCAACAAGAGAAATACTGTTTATATTTTTCCTTAGCCTTCACAGAAATACTGATTATATTTTTTCCTTAGCCTTCACAGAAATACTGATTATATTTTTTCCTTAGCATTCACAGAAATACTGTTTATATTTTTTCCTTAGCCTTCACAGAAATACTGATTATATTTTTTCCTTACCCTTCACAGAAATACTGTTTATACTTTTTCCTTAGCCTTCACAAAAATACTGTTAATACTTTTCCTTAGCCTTCACAGAAATACTGTTTATATTTTTCCTTAGCCTTCACAGAAATACTGATTATATTTTTTCCTTAGCCTTCACAGAAATACTGTTAATACTTTTTCCTTAGCCTTCACAAAAATACTGTTTATACTTTTTCCTTAGCCTTCACAAAAATACTGTTAATACTTTTTCCTTAGCCTTCACAGAAATACTGATTATATTTTTTCCTTAGCCTTCACAGAAATACTGATTATATTTTTCCTTAGCATTCACGGAAATACTGTTAATACTTTTTCCTTAGCCTTCACAAAAATACTGTTTATACTTTTTCCTTAGCCTTCACAAAAATACTGTTAATACTTTTTCCTTAGCCTTCACAGAAATACTGATTATTTTTTTCCTTAGCCTTCACAGAAATACTGTTTATATTTTTTCCTTAGCCTTCACAGAAATACTGTTTATATTTTTCCTTAGCCTTCACAGAAATACTGATTATATTTTTTTCCTTAGCCTTCACAGAAATACTGTTTATATTTTTTCCTTAGCCTTCACGATCACAGAAATACTGTTTATATTTTTCCTTAGCCTTCACAGAAATACTGATTATATTTTTTCCTTAGCCTTCACAGAAATACTGTTTATATTTTTTCCTTAGCCTTCACAGAAATACTGATTATATTTTTTCCTTAGCCTTCACAGAAATACTGTTTATATTTTTTCCTTAGCCTTCACAGAAATACTGTTTATATTTTTCCTTAGCCTTCACCGTCACTTCCTTGTAATAATCAATACACCGTGCTGTAAGCCGGTTGTATCACGTTACACATGAGTAAGATGCCATGGCCTATTTCCCACGACTTCACAACACCTCGGTGGTTACCTGTAACTCACACTCCCTCCCTCACCCACAGAGCTGCATTGTACCCAACCCTCTCCAATCTAAATAACATTAGGCCACAGCAAGTAATTTTTATGGATGACATCAACGCGGGCATTAATTTTCGTCTGATTTTGGAAAAAAAAAAGAATTTTTTTTGGCTTCTGACAGTGGTCAACCTGCCGAAAATGGGCAGAGATGTCTGTTGCCATGCCGAAAGGTGTTTGGCAGATAACTGTAAAGAGAGGAGACAAGAAAAGGCTCTGATTTAATGTTTTGTTTCTTACTTTGATGCAGTGATATGTGATGCTGACTGTGTATAAGTAATATTCCCACGGAATCAAAACCATTTGTACAATGATTGCGTCAAAATTTTAAATTGTAGGAACCTTGTTTTTTTTCGGCCTGCCTTGTTTTTTTTCGCCCGCTCGCATTAGATTTGGAGTCTGCGGAGGATGTCATCCATAAAATTTACTTACTGTGGCCTAAATAACATAACCGCCGGCATTCAACCCTTAATTCAATAAGAAACTACAAAGGAGATCAGTGCCTGTGTGATACTAATGATCACCCGCGATGGTCGGAAGAACTTTGTGATATCCTGCTTTTCAGGACATCACGTCTCTGTATTGTATGCGGCTATCCCTTCTGAGACGGCGATTAAACCTCAGCAAGCGTACAGGCATACCTGTGTACCTTTCCTATAGGCCCAGAAAGATTAAAAGGTTTAAGTCTATACTTGGTAAATATATGTAGTTATACTTTCCTCATTGCTGTCACAAGTTTGAACCCTGTGCCAACTTTATCCAAGGAGATTTTAACCCCCTTGCTTTATCCATGTTTCTAACAGACATTTACACACGTGTAGGAAAAATATAGCCCTTTCAATGATGTCTAAAAGGGTTTGAATGAATGAATGAAGGTCTTATTAAGATGGGTGCAAACAGGGTGAAAGCGGTATATACGTATACAGTGACAGCCGTGCGAATACTATGAAAGACGCTGACGGGTCTGTTACTGGTATGTTTGTCCGGACAAATATTTGTTGTGTCAGAGAGACACTCCACAGCTGCACGGCTCTCTACACTATATACGAGAAAACTTCATTAACCAAATAACAGAGCCGAAAAAACACAACATACGGTCTCGATGTTACTAGTAATCCGTCCAAAATAGAGTCCCGTGACACTCTTCTGTAAGCTTAACAAACCTTAAGATCTTAATTAGAGACATTTCAGGAACATCATGGCGGACTGAACTGTCCTATAAACACGGAATGTAAAACTTAAATGGTTGATTTGATACGTGGTGAAATAATAAACTTCAATATGCAAATATATGCCAACTTAGAAGTCAAAATCGTCTCTTTGCGTTCTATGACACCCAGGCCAGGTCTTACTATCTTCGCCAGAGGCATCTTATAAATACTATGATGGCGTCCTATAAACACGGAATATAACACTTAAACGGTTGGTTCAATACATGATGAAAATATATCATAGATATACCTATAAGCCAACTTAGCAATAAAAATCGACCCTTTTCTATGTCACCCAGACAAACTCTCGTTATCAAGTATACGAGCACACACGGAAACTATATGATAAAAATATTCCAAGAAGTAAAAAGATAGTCCAGATTTTTTTACCTGCTTGTCCTTTTCTTGTCCACACTTCACCCAGTCAGGTAAGAACCTCGACACCTTGTTCGTGGACTCGTGCTTTCTGCCGAACATTTTTAGCACGAGTCTGTTTCCCTGTCTGAACTGTTTCACCGAGGAAAGCAGAACTGTTTATCCGCAGATCTAGCGGCCCTCCGTGCCCCGTTACCCTGAGATATTTCCATGTGAATAAGCGGAATGGGAGAGGAATGGGCGTTCTTTGTGTCCCACAAGTGAACCCATGTCCAAACCAGCCGAGAGGCTAAACTCAAGAGCGCCAGCCAACCGTACATGCGCACAAATCGCTAGAGCCAAGCGTGACATAAACAGTTTAAAGACAACCCTTAAGGCGTGTTGACATGGGAGTTGGACAAGGAAGGATGTGTGTTTTCATAATCTCCAAGCAGATATTTCGGTGGCTTCTTAAAGACAACCCTTAAGGCGTGTTGACATGGGAGTTGGACAAGGAAGGATGTGTGTTTTCATAATCTCCAAGCAGATGTTTCGGTGGCTGCAAAATACAGTATCAAATTGGGTGGTAAGGCCATGTTGATTTGATTATATGGATGACATCCGCGCGCGCATGGATTTTCGGCCATTTCCAAAAAAAAAAGTTTTCAACCATACTGTAAATCGTACAAAACAGTTGCAAAATGAGCAAAAATATACCGTAAGTTACAAAAAAATCTCATGCCAATGTCGCAGAATACCAAAATCGAACGAAAAAAGACGAAATTGTAAACAAACGGAATTTGAAGAGAAGATTATTCGCCAAACCATATTCTGTGCCATTTGTTAAACCTTCAAAACCACGTACATTTCATAATAGAAACAACACGCGCGCATCAGTTTTGGGGCTCCCGGAGGATTTCATCCATATTATCAAATCAACATGGCCCAAACGGATACAGTCTGGCCAATGGATACTGCATGACCAATTTGATACTGTAATTTTGCAGCCACCGAAACATCTGCTTGGAGATTATATTTAAAGCCTTTCAAAGCGATTTCAGGGCAGATGATTTTCAAAGTCAATTTTTTTATAGAAACTTTATTGGAAGTCCATGCCCAAAGGCTAATTGCAAGAACATGGTAACACAAATAAACAGTAAAAATAATAATAATTAATACATTAATATATTAGCATTAATTATTATTATTACTGTTACTTTATTATTTGTTATTATTATTGCTACTTTAGATATACATTTGTAGTTATTGTTGGGTTTGACTTCTTTTCCGTGTGCAGTGGAGTATGAAATGGCCGACATTTTGCGAGATATATGAATTGGGAGGTGTTAATAGAAATGCAGTTATTTGTAGGCTGGGAAGGTGAATAAAGCTGGGGAACATTTTGGTGACCATGTCAAATAAATTATCTCTTTCGGTGCTATAATGAGGGCAATGACAAATAAAGTGCATTTCATCCTCCACTGCGTTTCCTGTACATTATTTAAATATTCTGTCGTTAACAGACAATTGTTTGTATCTAACCTTTTCTATTTCTAATGTATGATTATATGTTGAATCAACCCTATCCCATAGCATACTGATATCTGCAAAAACGCGGATACTTGTTTCGTATGATAGACTGGTTATAGCTATTTATTGTTGGTACTCCTCACGAAGTTTTTTTTTTTTTTTACTATTAGGCCACAGCAAGTAATTTTTATGGATGACATCAGCGCACGTATTAATTTTCGCCTGATTTTGGAAAAAAACCAATAAATTTTGTTGCCTTCAGACATTGGTCAACATACCGAAAATGGGCAAAGATGTCTGATGCCATGCCGGAAGGTGGATGGCAGATAACTATGAAGAGAGGAGACAAGAAAAGACTCTGATTTAATGTTATGTTTCTTACTTTGATGCAGTGATTTGTGATGCTGGCTGTGTATATGCGATGTTCCCACTGAATCAAAATCATTTGTACGTACAATGATTAAGTCAACATTTTAAATTGTAGGAATCTTGTTTTTTCGGCCCACCTTGTTTTTTTTTCGCCCGCTCGCGTTAGATTTGGAATCTGCGGAGGATGTCATCCATAAAAATTACTTGCTGTGGCCTTATAAAGACTTCCCTTGCCGTCCTGAATTGCAATGGATGCCTCTAAGCGATTCGTTGGTTAAAGACTACAAATAATAAGGACCTCATTATAGACTCAATGCTCAGTGCGTTTGGTTTATACCACTGTGTTTGTTGCTATACAGAACTAGAAATGCTTCGCATTTTTTGGACTGGCCCTTGAGTCAGTAGGTACTAGTACGTGGGCGACCGCATTTTTGTGTGGAAAATGAAACAACTCTACCTTGTCCCAACGGCATGCAATTGTTTCTGTGGCCGGTTAGGCCATGTTGATTTGATTATATGGATGACATCGATCCTCTGGGAACCCCAAAACTGATGCGCGCGTGCGAATAAAAAAAAAGTTTGGCCAAAAAAAAAGTTGCCTTCATTATAAAATCTATGTGGTTTTGAAGGTTGAACAAATGACACAGAGTATGGTTTGGCGAGTAATCCGGTCTTTAAATTCATTTCTTTACATTTTCGTCTTTTTCGTTTGATTTTGGCATTCTGCGACGTTGGTATCGCTTTCCAATGTTTTTATTTTCAACCTACGGTATATATTTGCTCATTTTGCAACTGTTTTGTACAATTTATGGTATAGTTGAAAACTTTTTTTTTTGGAAACGGCCGAAAATTCATGCGCGCGCGGATGTCATCCATATAATCAAATCAACATGGCCTTAGCTTTAGAATGCATGATTTGGGCCTTGCTTTTCGGTACCCGGTGATTACCACATCAAATTTCTTTCTTCCCCCCTAAACTAGTACATACAGTAGTCTCAAATATGAAAGCGAGTAGCCCTAGCCATTCAAAACTGCGTGATAAAACGTCACGATGCCAACATATACAGTAACTGCCTTAGGCCACACCAATTTAATTTCTTGGTTAACGGATTTTTCTAGAAAAATAATGGAGCGGGCGGGCGAAAAAAAATAAAAACTGGCCTAGGCATCCTATTATGGCCCAAAATAGTACGATATGAGCCATGAAGTCAACACACCAGGCTGGTTCAATTTTTTTTTTATTAAACAATGAATTTTGAACTTTTAATGATGCCACTGCATTGAAAGATGGAATAACTGTAACAACTAGGAAGAAAAGGACTGTGTTCAGGGCAAAATATGAGCATTTTGCAGTTGATTCTGAATTTCCTTTTTTGCAAATCAGAAAAAAATGAAGCGGGCGAATCCGTTAACCAAGAAATTAAATTGGTCTGGCCTTAGCTCTAGTCTGTTGTGCCCTGGGCACGAGAGGGTACAGTGTTTAGATCACGTGACTTCAGGCGTGACGATGTCTGCGCAATGTTTTCATTTTGATGCCGTAATTGGTACACATGAGAGCTACATATGAATAAGATCACATTCAAGAGCGTTTCCCACGCGGCAATATTTTGCCAGGTGTGCGCTTAAGAATTTGAGACATGTCACGAGAAGTGGTTTCCTTTTCATTGGCGTATTTTCTCCTTCTTTAGTAATGTAATGACGCAGTGAGGCAGTATTTACAAGGTTTCTATGACATTCTTTCGGACTTTCCTTTTCCTTTTCCTCCTCTTGTTGGACTATCGTGGTCTGGTTCAAATTAAACTGTAGCTTAAGTGGAGTTCATATTACGTAGATATTACTTCCAGTGTTTAAAAGAAAGAGAACAAGAGTTCCACGATCTCATACCTTCGCCACATGAAGTTAACCCTTGCGGTTGACAAATTATACAATTACAATAATTGATTTTGTAAATAAGAGCCTCATTTGCATGGATTATATCAGTTGATCATATTCTACACCAAATGACAACCTTATCTTAACAAAAAGGCTATTATAGCACTTCCTCATAAATTATGCAAATGAGGTCATGATTTGAATAAATTATATTTATTGATGTTCAACTTCACTTAACTTCCAAATGTGGCAAGTATGAAATTCCCAGCAGTTACAAAATGAAATTATAAAAATTTCCCATTAATTATGCAAATTAGGTCCTCAATTACATAATCTATGTCTTCAGATGTTTTTTTTTCTCGTTCGGATCGCGGGAGGGCCGGGACCGAGGGTGATGCGGAATGTTCCAGGGACTTATCTGGTCAATGTAGGTTTATATCATACCCAGGCCGCGATAACGTTCGATAACGGGTTCCGGACCGGGCCGTACCTTTCAGTACGGCCGAGGCTCCATGGCTTCCATAGAACGATTCGAATGCATTTTGCCCTAACACAACTGCGTGTACCGCATTCGAAAATTTGAATACAGAATCCGGACGTTGGAATTGATGTTGTTGCATTTTAGGGTTTAGTGACACCAACTTTTGGCTCATCTTGCATTGAAAGGTGCGTTTTCTTGGGTGGGTATGACATGAATAAAATACAACACATTCCGCATCACCCTCGGTCCCGGCCCTCCCGCGATCCGACCCGCAGTTAGGCCGATACCTCGGGCGATACGGAATACCCCGTGTTGTATTCTATATATACATTGACCAGATAAGTCCCTGGAACATGTTGGCATGTGACACAGTCATGATCAGAAATTCAGGACTGTTGCATTGCCATATAAACTAAATGACCAATAAAGATTCAGTCTATTGACAAACTAGTATACTGATGATAGACACCGAAATGTCAGCAGTTTTTAATAGGTGAGAAATCTTGGTTGTCACAATGTGTAAAGAAAACTCCTATACTTAACATTTTGTTTTGTACCAACCTGATGAAACTATTTTCGGCAGTATTGCTGATGTCTGTGTGATAGCTTGAAATATAAGCACCGCATTGTTTACTGACAATATGTTTTAAGCATAACTTAAAGCATCTCCCTACAAATTACTAACTTTAAGGTTTCAAAGTCCATATTCACCATACAGAAGATGAACAAATAAATTGCTCACTCTTCAAACAGAAGTGGTCATGTGCTGGAGCGAAGTTAAACTGAAGATGAACTTTGTAGCGGGAGTGGCAGACAAGGACACCATTTCCAGGGGCGGGCTGAAAATGGCAGCTGCTCCAAGTTCTGCCACCGACAGACAAAGAATCCTGGAGGATTTTCTCTCCTGTGGAATCTGCTTTGAGCCCTTCACGAAGCCCAAAGCACTACCCTGTCAGCACACATTCTGTTTGGGGTGTTTAGAGAGCCAACATAAAACATGGTTGGAGGATTGCAGCAGGATGCCACATCAAGAGCAGCAACCATTCAGGTGCTCAATCTGTCAAGAACCTGTGACTTTGACCTCTAAGAGAGTTGCAGGACTTCCTGACAACCATCTTGTGTCCAACCTGTGTGAGGAATTCTCCAAGAAAACTCAGGTGGGAGGACCGAAGAACAGGTGTGGATTTCACCAGACAAAAGAAGTAGATCTGTTCTGCCAGCAGTGTGAGGTGCCAGTTTGTAGTGAGTGTATCGGGGATGGCCACCCTGGGCACAACATCACAGGGGTTAAACAGGCGGCACCACAGATAAAAGCCAACATCAGGACACAGCTCAAGAAGGGACAACAGAAGATGGAAACCTTCTCAACTTTCCTCAAAAACATTCAAGATGTGCAGAAAAGGCTGACAGACAACAAGACACAAGCTCAACAACAGATCAACAGAGCTTTTGAAGAACAGATCCTGAAGTTACAAAAACAGAGGGATGGGCTCTTGGCAATTGTACAAAAGACTCATCAGGACAACATGGCAGCTCTGACAGGACCAAGAGACACTGTGCTGACTCAGCTGGCTGAACTGTCCAGGGTTTGTGAAGATGCAGAAAAGTGTTTGGAGCAAGAAGAAGCAGTCTGGCAATCACAGGACTTAAACGTGGGAGAGAAACTTGCAAAGTTTGAGAACACTCGGATTCCTGAAGTCTGTGAAACTAAACTTTGTTCTTTCGAACCAAAGAAATCTGGTACACTGATAGAGCTGGGTAAGGTAACAACAAAAACCATGTCAAACAAGAGTTCCACGACCTCATACCTTCGTCAAATGAGGTTAACCCTTGCGGTTAACAAATTATACAATTACAATCATTGATTTTGTAAATAAGAGCCTCATTTGCATGGATTATATCAGTTGATCATATTCTACACCCAATGACAACCTTATCTTAACAAAAAGGCTTTTATAGCACTTCCTCATAAGTTATGCAAATGAGGCCATGATTTGAATAAATTATCTTTATTGATGTTCACCTTCATTTAACTTCCAAATGTGGCAAGTATGAAATTCCCAGCAGTTACAAAATGAAACTATAAAAAAATTCCATTAATTATGCAAATTAGGTCCTCAATTACATAATCTATATCTTCAGATGTTTTTTCTCGTTCTCAAGTAGATGTCCCAAGTGTTTCATAGTTCTATTATGGAACAAAGCAGATTTATAGAATTTCCTCATTAATTATGCAAATTAGCTCCTGATTTGCATAATAGTTATTTGATTATGTCAAGCATCACTTCAACTACAAATGTACCTACACACCAAAAATCATGACAATCCGTCAACCGGTTCTTGAGTTATCCTCCTTCGAAAATTTTTCAACAAATGCTCTTGCAGTTCCAGAACAAGCCGCTAGGGAACCCAAACTCATGTCACTTCTTCCCTATCCCAAGAGCTATCTGCCATCCAAAATTCGTGACCCTAGCATGTCCAGATCACGAGATATCAAAACCGGAAGTTCTACTGCAGTACCTAGAAAAGCCGCCAGGGGGCCCAAAATCTAATCATTTCTAGGTCTTATAAAGACCTACCCACATACCAAGTTTCATTTCAATCCATCCACTGCTTCTCGAGTAATCTTGCTAAACCACACACACACACACACACACACACACACACACACACACACACACACACACACAAACACACAAACGCTACTGAAAACATAACCTTCTTGGCGAAGGTAATGATTGCACACGAATACAACAAATGGTTCAAAGCTTACCGAAGCCTGTAACGCATTAATTCATAATGACTATGTTTTCTAAGTCACATATTACCAAAAATAAGTGACCAATCATGTATTGTACCAGTGACTGTTACAATGTATCCTCGATATCTCAGTTACCGTGAGAAGTATATATACAGGTACAGGTACCCTCATTACGTACTACGATTTTCTACATCCACTATCTCCTACACAACAACACATACCTGTCTGGCCATGGCATATCCTGACGACAAACGCCATCGAAAGTTAAGCAAGGGGAACACTTTGGAGCACATAGCTCACATGTACATCTGTATCCGTACTCCACAACCGGTTAACAAGTTATGTGGTCCGGAGACGATTTATAGAGGAACTGGTGCTGTGTTCTGTTCTGTTTTATTCGGAGGTTAGGCTATGATTAAAAGCTGGACTAAAACGCGTTCGGCAACTTCGTCTAACTAGCCTCTACCAGGCTTTGAGAGGCGGCTGAAAAGAGTGGAAACCGGCCAAATAGAGAGACAGCATGCCAAGGGAGTTTGGTTGGCTGGAGAAAAAAGAGCGGCAAAAATGTTCTCTCCAGCCGACCAAACTCCCTCGGCATGCTGTCTCTTTATTTGGCCGATTTCCACTCTTTCCAGCCGCCTTCCGAAGCCTGGTAGAGGCTATCGTCTTAAAGTCTATGGATCAGGAGGATTAATTGCTGTTTCCTCCCTAGTGACTTGCTTTAACAAAAAGGGCTAATCATTTGGAGACCTTACTTAACTCGTAGAGTGTGGGAAAACCTAAATCAGTATGCAGTATAGCCTTATTAAAGAATTCAATAACTCAACATGAACCACGCTATCATGATGCCCCATTTGTATAAATTATGTAAAGATCATTATGTGGATACGAAGGAAGGAATCTTATATTATGAAGAAGAAGAAGAAGAAGAACTTTATTGCACGACAAATGCACATGGTACATTGTATGGCAAACTACATAAAGAGAGTTACAACAGTAAAATAAGTGTGTTGAATAAGACCTAATGTCGAATAAAACCTAACATATGTTGTCTTTGGCAGTGCGTTATCAAATGCCGTCGGCGATTTCTTTTTGTTTCATGAATGACAATGGCAGACATCAGTGCTCTCATGAATACGTATCACTTACAGATAAACCACGTCATCTCAGAGTTTTGCTAAGAATGACTACGCTGGCTTAAAGTTAAAGGCATCCAATGCAGTTTTAACCCGATTTTCAAAGCCAATATTCTAGTCATCTAGCTTACATACTGAGTTGAAACCACACTATCCCAATGTATACTGACCCTCATGGAGCAACAATACCCAAAATTCTGAAGGAAAATGGTTACTTGAAGGACCCTGGGCTGATTTTTAGGGTACCACCCAGAAAATAAAGGACTCATCTTGGGGCTTGTTTCTGCAGTTTTAAATGCCCAGAGTATGAAATACTGATTTAAATGTGCCAATGCTAATGTGTCAATATCACAAAGTTTGCCCTACGCATAATATTTCCAGTTTTGCTGCCCTGAAATTGCATTGGATGCCTTTAAGGGGCTTTCCGAACACTGCCAAACTCTCCCAACCATGGTTAGGAGTAGGTCGGGAGCTAGCAAGGTCGGCTGGTGTTCGGCCAGGTTGGCTACTCACGGTTCGGCTGCGCCAGCCGAATGTTTCAATATGTTTAAAGAATTCGGGTGTTGGTGGGATGTGGTTGGCTGGTGTTCGGAAGTAGGCCGGGCTGTGGGTGGCAGTGAAATTTGACTCAAGTTTAACTCAAATTTGATTCAATTCCAATAGAAAGGTAGACGCACCCTAATCTGATCAGACTGCTCCTGAACTTTAGCCAACCTTAGCCTGACACATTGTCAATAATGATAAACCTTTTATTCATTTCTTTCCTTTTCACGCCCAACCACGCCCGACCTACTCCCGAACACCAACCAACCACCAGACAACCTTCCGTCCTCACCCGAATGTTTGAAACATTTTGCGGCTGACACAGCCGAACAGTAGCCGACCTGGCCAAACTTCAGCCGACCTTGCTCCCGACCTACTCCTAACCATGGTTGGGGGGAGTTCGTCTAGTGTTCGGGAGGCCATTTTCGACTATGTGTGACGGGCGGGGAAGAGTTCAGTTAGGCCACACCGACTTAATTTTATGGATGACATCCACGCGCGCATTTTGATTTTCGCCTGTCCGACCCCCCCCCCCCCCAAAAAAAAAACGATCACCTCCACCGAGGCTCTGGCCTGGCTCTAGGCCTGGGTAGTCCATGGTAGTTAGCGACAAAACGGAGCCAAGCACCCAGGCTATCGAATTCGAAGCTCCACGCCTCAAGAACTCAGTACATACGTACATTACCGATTCATAAATTCCGCAAAAAGCCAGCATGTGCCGGCTTGTCGTATACTAAGTACTGTCGCGAATTCACAATACCAGCTATGTATTCCTATGCTTTAGTAGCATTTTTATTTTTGGCCGGAATTTTTTTTATTTATTTTTTTTCGCCCGCGCGCACTAGTTTGGGGGTCTTCAGAGGATGTCATCCATAAAATTGAATCGGTGTGGCCTTAGTGTTCTTGAGGTCATACTCGGCCATGTGTGACAGGGGCTTAACCAAACCCCTTGCAAAATATACACCTGCCCCCCCTCCACTGTACAATAAAGTGTACTGTTTCACTGCGTGACGCAAAACCAGCTGAACTGACAGATGTGTTATAAATGAGGCAAACATCCCGTTGTCAGTTCGTGGCTAACCTGTGGTTTTTACCGAAACGTGAGACGGAAGCCAGGGAATGACTAGACTGGGAACCACAACTTCTGGTATGAAAGAAAGACATTGTGTGTGGTGAAGTCGGTGTTTGTTGGCGAATTTTCCTACACGCTACGTAACTTGTATCAGACCGCTAGAGTTACCGGTGTGACGTACGGCAGGCCTCGAAATTAACTTCTTTTTTTAAACAGAGTGTTTCAATGCAAGGCTTATACCACCACTTGTCGGTATTGAACTAGAAATATGAGAGAAACATGCATGGCTATGTCAGGAGATGGCGGTGAACGTTTGATTTGAAAGCCTGTAGATTGTAGGTTGGTGGGAAACACTTGTCAGGGAGGGAATTCCAAAGCTTGGCCGTACGGGGAAAGAAACTGTCACTGTAAAAGTATTTCGAACAAGGAATTTGAACGGTGAAGTTGTGTGAGCTAGTGGAGAACCTAGTGGAACGCTTAAAAGTTCTTCCTAATGTACCAGCACTGTCCCGAAAATAAATTTCAATTGTCCCGAAGTGAGAATGAACTGTCTCAACCTGTTTTCTTTTTAGGTATAGTATGACTTCAACTTGAAGTCAACTTTATTTTGCGAACAATCACTCCCAGGCGCACTATAATTGCAGAAAATTCGGGGGACTTTTCAGGATCCAAAAGCCGGGACGTGTGTCTGATAAACAACAGAAAAGCTGACATTCTGATGTTGATTATTTTTCTATTGTCCCCAAAAATGTCCCAAACTGTCTTTTTAGTTATCCCAGACTAAACCTTAGTTGTCAGTGGCCACTGGACCACCTTTAATCTCGAGCCCTCTTACGGTATACGTACCTTCCCTGTTTCAATGTATACGGCGGCTCGCTATAATCAAGTCACCGTTGAAGAGGAACATGCCACTATTTGTTGACAAATCAGCAGACTCCTGACAACGTAGATTAGCAATAAGAAGCCTCATAAAAACTGGAACGTGCATACACCGACTGGAATTTCTCTTATCAGACCTTTTCTACTTGAAAAGCAGCTGGATTGCTAGCCTGGGATCCAGTCTTACGTGATTGGGGGTATTGGGGTGTTCAGGCAGGTTGTGCCTTCGGGGGCTCTAATAGCTTCCCCCGCCCAGGGCAACAGGCCGTCCCGGTAGGAGTGTTACGCTAATAAGAGACAGTATGCTTGGGGATTTGGTTTCCCCACAACACGTGGAGGGCTAATCAATCTCTCGTGATATACACACCGGGAAACCTATGTGAGGCGGGCGGGCCAGAGCTCTTTCGGCCCCGACCACGAATCAGACTGGATACCAGGCTACTCTATTGCTTTTTGATTTAAAGTCAAAGGCATCAATATATAGGAAAGCCATGAATAACGTACTATGTGTTGTGTAAGCAGGAAGACAGTGACATACGGAATTCTTGTCATACTGATGTTGACCCCACCCCACACACTGTTTGATCTGTGTTTGCTGACAGTGTTTAGGCTAGGGTTAGTGGGAACAAACGTGTAAGGTAATCTGGGGTGAGTCATGGCCGTGAAATGCTGCTGGTGTGACCACGAGTAAATCATCCAATTACTTCTTATTATACTACTCTCCAAGCAGAGGTTTGGGCTTTGGCTTATATCTTTTGACGTGTTTTCTGGCACTTTGTCAGACTTTCTTCAGTTGTTCCGGTCTCTTTTTTTCAAATGTTAACTGCCTGGCAAATGGATACTGCCTTGCAAAGCAAAAGATCTGCTTGGAGATTATTCTTATACGGAAATCACTCGGTAGAACGACGACAAATCATCGGCAATCACCGTACGCTATTCGGTAATGTTCGCCATACGTACGTTTCCGTATATGTAGTGTATTCAAGCGTCATAAACAACAATGACGTGGGCAAAATCTAATCATTTCGAGGTCTCATAAAGACCTACCCATCTACCAAATATCAAGACAATGCATCTAAGCTTTCTCAACGTATCTTGTTTACAGACAGACAAGCAGACACACACACACACACGCGCGCGCGCACACACACACACACAAACACACACACACACACGCACACACGCACACACACACAAACACACACACACACACACACACACACACACAAACACAAACACCGTGACACAGACACACACACACACACACACACACACACACACACTCACACACACTAGACTGGCACTCGCTTGTGTGGATCGTGCCAAGACTAAGACCTATAAGTACGCCGTGTAGCGTTCAACCATATGCTAAACATACAATGTAAGTGTATGTCGTGACTTAGTCGTCGTGGGAGAGAGAACCTCACTTCTCATTAGTCCCCTCTTTTTTCTGTAAATGTCACAGTATCATGAACTGGAACGTTGACAAAACAAATAGTCAGGTAAGGCCACACCGACTTAATTTTATGGATGACATCCTCTGAAGACCCCCAAACTAGTGCGCGAGCAAATGAAATAAAAATCCGGCCAAAAATGAAAATTCTACTAAACCACAGGAATACAAAGGCAAAGCTGGTAGTGCGAATTTGCGGCAGAACTGCGGCAGAACATAGCAACGTATACAACAAGCCGGCACATGCTGTTTTTTTGCGGAATTTATGAATCGACACTGTACGTATGTACTGAGGTCTTAAGTCGTGGAGCTTTGGTAGCCTGGGTGCCATCCTCCAATGTTACCACCGGCTCCGTACTGTCGCTATATAGCAAGCTCGTACCATGGACTATCCAGGCCAGAGCCTCGGATGACGTGATCTCTTTTTTTTAAGAACAGACGAAAATCAAAGCGCGCGCGGATGTCATCCATAAAATTAAGGCGGTGTGGCCTAATAGCCGCATTGGATGACCTTTTGTCCAACTGAAACGGAATGTGATAGCTACTTCATTCATTGGCATTTTGTATAGTTTGAGACCAGGGGGTAGCTTTGTGTATGGACTTCGTGTATGAACGAACTCCACTAGGACATCAATACACCAA